AGTGATTTAGGCCCACTGGGAGAATTAAAAACTTTTGTCATATATGGTAATATAACAATGTATCCTGACCGTGTATTTTCATTTGATGTCATCAGTAATAGCCTACAGTCGCAGTTTGCTTTGACAAGTTTATGTCTTGATGGAAAAATAATGTTGCATTTGTCATAAGGTGAGTAACATTTATGTATGATATGTGAATTATGTATCCTAATATCAGCTGGCAGTGTCATTCCATGAATACAGTACACACTTTGGTTGTCCATGACTTCTTTTTCTTTTCTTTTTTTTTTAAGTTTAAAAGCCACTAATCTCAAGTTTTTCTATAGTGAGATGTATTAGATATGTTTGACAAGCTATTGTCATCCACTTTAATTAAGTGGTGATTTTGAGCACTTCTGTCAAATGTCATCATATTGATTTAATCCTATTGAATAGATCAAATGTATTCATTAATACAAATTGTAAGCTATTTTATGAAATTTTATATTTAGAATTGTTTTACGTGTATAGCATGTCACACCACAGGACATGTCAACTTCTTAAAATATTTTTTTTTCCAACTACACATATAGTTAATTCGAAGTCTGTATCAGTTATTTAAAAATAAGAAGAAGTAAAAAAAAAAAGTCCAGTCCATCTTTAGAATGTGTCATTAATGGCTAGAAGATTTCCTTTAATTTTGTTGGGGAATAGTCTCTGGTGAGTCTATGGCATCCATAGCTTTTTCCCATGAAGGCATTTGATGAGCTGTTTTGCATTGATTCTAGCAGGCAGCAGCACATTCCAGTCAACCCAACGCCCCCAAACATCCAAAGCATTTTGGGGAGTGCTTCAGGGTAGAGTATATGGGTAATGGCAAACCCTCATCATTTTGCATAAGGTTGTAAAAGGGATGATTGCAGTAGGAATTCTCTTGTTGTTATAGTTTAAAAAAAAAAAAAATTATTGAGGATTTCTCTCAAAAGCATAGCTTGTTGATTAACTGGGCTGCATGAAGTCAGCCTACTGTATGTGAATTTTACTTAATTTCTGTTTTTTTTAGGGGAAGGGCACCAGAGGAATATCTTTCTTGGTCTGTAACAGATTCATGTCACTTTTATTGCATTCAGATTCAGAAGTCAACACTTCCCACAGCTTAGCAGTGATTGAAATCATCAAAATCAATCAAAATTAAAGTTTTGATTTAGCAAGAATTTCTGTTCTAGCATAAATTTAGGTCATGGTGAAGTGCGTCCAAGCTGCTGGGATGTTGACTTGTTGTAGCTAATGTCCCTCTTGCCAGTGTCCTTTATCGCTGAAGCATATTTTGATGGACTTATGATGTGACATCTTGAACTCCTTTAGGACTCTTTACTTTTCAGTTGATTCTTATGAAAAGATTTTTAATTGAGAGTGAGACCAGATTTAGTCATAGAATTATTATCAAAGATAAACTTTTTTTTATTTGATTTGCCTTTTTATTTTGGTGTTTTATATTATTTATTTATTTCACTTTTTATTTCTTTCACTTTTTCTCGCCCATAAATATAGCTGTGGTATTGCTGGCATGGTGTTGAATTGAGTTTGATCTTATTCACATAGTTTGAACCAGACTTTAACACTATAACTAATTTGGCCGAACCGGAAAATAAATTTTTTTCTGCTGTTTTGGCTGAATGTTTTTGGTTGTCGAAATTTCACTGCGTCACTAGTCTCTTTATAATCTCAAAAAAAATCAAAACATCCCTTCAACCTTCTCGCTCCATGAAACGTCCCTTTTCACAATCCAATCAATTCATGGTGAATAAAATCATATGCCGTCTTACTTTTTTTTTCTCTCTTTGAATACCCTGTATCGTAAATAGGGGTTGTGAAACCTGTTTCCTGTTAACTTTAATAATTTCAAAACGTTGTTTATGAAGTCAAAGAAACGTTTCTAGTAGCTCATTTTGCGTAAAATGCTGTAATGTTTTCTTTATATTTCTCATACGTTTTGGTCCTTCTATGAGCACTTCATTAGAAATTCGGATTGGTTTTAACAGATTTGGGTATAAGCGACTGCCTGCATGCCCAGTGGGACGTCCTGTGGACCAGGCGGAGAGACACTGACCCAGTTGTACCTCTCTTGAGCTGACTGCATTCTGCTTGATCACATTAGCAGCTCTCAGAGGAATGATTTCATTGAATGGAAGCTCTTATTAGTAGCGTCATGGTTCTTATGTTAGACCCTTGGACTGATGTCTCACTTGATGGTAAAACAACTTTAAAAGTAGTGTTTCCTAACTATGAGCTGTTTAGTGATTTATTTTTTATAGGCTTATAGCTTATTTACAGGTTTCGACCTCCTGCTGTTATAATTGCAGAATGTTCAGTGTGTGTATGTGTAATCAACTGTCCAAACAAACACATTCCTCCCATCAGGCTTCATACTGATGCTCAATTAACAAGCGGCTGCTGTGTCAGGTCTGCAAGGAATTTCCATTAGATGTGTGTCTGAAATAGCCCAAAGAATAATCCAAATACGGAATTCGAGAGATATGGTGAAGAAATTGAATCCCTTGAACTTCACAGGACCATCTTGCCTGTTTTGCATATCAAACGGTTTGTTTAGGCAGAGCGTCAGTAGGTCAGGATTGTGGTCACCGTTTAGTGGGCCATTAGAGATGCCAGGACTGTTCTGTCCTGCTTGGATTCCCTCTCGAGAGAATTAGTTTTTGTTTTTCAAAAGCTTCGTATTATTCCCCACAAGGTCCGTTTTCCTTTAATGTTTGAGAAAAAAGGCTGAACTTCACTGTGGCCTTCCTGTCAGACTGGGACAGACCAATGTCTTTACCACATGGATCTCCCTCTGCAATACAACATCTGTTTTTTGTGTGTGTGTGCACTGCTGTTTTAGGATTTTTGTCTTAAATTCATATTTTCACACATTTATTTAATTTATTTCAAAGAGAGGGTCCAGAGGGTCCTGAAAAGTGAAGCCAAAAAGTTTTGATCGCCCCCATGTTGCTGGGTGGATACAGTATAGGTAATAAAACCCGCCCTCTCCATGTAATCTAATAGAACGTGAGACGAACCAAAGAATCAAATTACACTTCAAATAATTCGTTTCCAAAGATGGTTTCTCTCATTTTAGGTACTTTTTGTCACACTGATGTAAGTTCAAGTGTTAGTTTTTTAAAATCGAAAACGAACCGACATAATGAGTTGTTCTGCAGTAAGCTGTACCGATTCTGCGGGAGTGTGGGCGGGACCTTCCCTCCCCACCCTCACTACTGTGGAGACCCGGGTTCCGTAATCAGCGCAATATGTCAGTGTCATATTGGGACATTGGCGGCTTCACTTTTCTACAATAGAAGAGAGTATGTCATCCATATTTTTTACAGTCTATTGTCCCTATACAGGTTCTGTTTTTATTTGAACATCTGTGTTGAGGACCACCATCTGAACAGATGATCAGAGGCTTCTTTATGTACCTGGAATGACCCTTGACCCCAAGAGACATTGAAAGTCACACAATTCCTCCAGATAGTCGGAGATGAGTTGAAAGAGAAACCCACCCCCATCCTCAAAAGCTTTGAATGTATTTCTATAACTTCTTTCCCATTGGCCAATGCCTAGACAGACTAATTTTGGAGTCATAGAGTGTGATTCTTTATGTTTTCACCTGAAATATTTAAAATGGTTTTCATTTTCCACTGGCGATCATTGAGTTTGTCTTGTTACCCAATATGAATTTGCTTGTGTGGGCCCGCATGTTTGAGGCTGGCTGTGTGTCTTTGAATTGTTTTTAGAAGCATGTTGATGGATATGACTCTGAAGTGAATGACTGAAGAATGACTATGATATTGAAGTGTTGGGGGCGCTGCGGTTCAGCGCTCAGATTTGTGCAAATGCCCGGAAGCCGTTTTCGTACTGAACACTGAAATCAATTCTGGATGGAACGTTTTGTGTTTGATAGAAAGTTGGCCGCCATTACCTCTCAAGTGGGAAGTTAACTCGGGCAACTAACTGCTCCGCTGAAGAGTTTTACTGCAGAGTGTCTTTCCCTTTAGGGCTTGTACAAGTACATTTTTTATTGATGAAATATGAGAAAGAAAGTGACCATTACCATTGTGCACAACTTCATTGCTAATGCTTGTTAAGAAACACTCACTGGATTTTCTGTTTTATTGCAGTTTTTTTCTCTTTACACACTAGTATCCCTATAATGAAAGTTAGAATAAAATTTGTACATTTGTTGCATTTAAATATGAACGATATGGATGTCTAGGCTATATTCTTTCAGTAAGCATGAGGACTGAGAGTTGTGGACTGGAGTTGGGTGTGGTACTTTTTGTTTTGACTCCTTTTCAAACATATCAACTTAAAAGGCTTGTTCTGAAAAATGGGGGTGTTTAGGCTGGTGTCTGTCTATCCGGGCATTCCTCATCTATTTGCCATCAAAGTATCCAAATCGCCGTATTTTCGATTTGCAAAGAGAGACCACATAGGGGCACGTGTCAGAGTTCACTAGCTGCTTGAGCAAGCAGTGGAGTCTCTGGTTCTTGATTTCTAGCTAGTAGTTACATCAACATTAATACACTTATACTTGCACAGACTTTACTTCTAGACCTATGTTGCTTTTAAATTTATGATTTGTATTGCTAATTAACCTTTATAAATGGGCTATGGTATTTTTACATGCTTATTAAGACATTATAGATGATTATATATATGTGGACCATCTTCACAAGTATACTGTGAAGGAAATTTACTATATAAATTCATAGAGCTGCTGTGCTTTTTTCTAGCCTCAGACCTAGCCCTGTTGCTCTAGACTTTTAAAGCCTTTTAAGGCTTGACGCAGTTGGTCAGCTCTTCCAACGGGCCTGGCCTCCACCCATGATGATGTGATAAGAGAGGCAGTTCCATCCTCTTCTGACTCTCCTCCAATCACACAGTGTTGTGTGCATTCAAACACTGGCCAATGACTGTTTTCCCCTAAAGTGTCTGAGTTTACAGTGTGTGTGAAGCTGCATAAATAGAGTCCTCTGAGACCGTTATTTTACATTACAACTGTCTAAAAGCAAAAGCATAGACGTGTACATAATGTGTTCCCCGAGGAAAATAACCAGTGCTGGAGTAAGGTAATGAGATATTTCGATTAAAGCTGTGCTTGATTAAATGCTATTGAATGCTACTGGGCAAAAAGATAGGTCTGAAAAATAAATTATGTGGCAGCGATGTCTTTGTAATGTAAAATGTGTATTTTTTTGTCTATGGCTGGGTTTACTTAGCACTGCATGCCATAATGTTCAGAAACTTCTTTCTTTAACACTGTTTTGTATTTTCTGAAGGAGTGGGGTATTTTAAATTGTCATCCAATATAAACTTGTTTTGCATTTTTGTTTGTTCCATTTGAATCTGCGTAAATACAGCCAAATTTATCCAAACGACTCCTTGTCTGCTTTCCTTTATTTAGATTACGCTGTAAATGTATCAAGAACTTGGAGCCAAGCATGAAAAAGGCGACCAAGCCCACGGCCGCCACCTCCAGAACCGCATCGGGCACTAAGGCCCCAGGCAGACCAGAGGGAAGCAGCATTATGGGCACAGGTGGCAAGATGACAAACAAAACCCATAGTGCAGCTCCACTGTCTAAGGTAATTGTTTAGTATGTAGAAATTGGAAACATGTTTTTAATTATTATCAATATGCTGAACCAAGTGCCAGCTAAGAATGTTAGCTTGTGATTTGTCTGTAACAGATTATTAACTTAATGTTTTGCATGGTACCCAGGCAAAGAGCAATGATGATCTCCCAACGGTCAGTGCAGGAAGTGGAGCAGTGTCCATTAGCAACAGTAACACTACTGCTAGAAACAAGAGAGGAACCTCCTCTCAGAAGACCAGCAGCACTGAGAACAGGTCCAAGACCAGTTCAGGTAGCGCTAAGCATTACCTTGGTTCTGAAGATGTTAAAGAAAAGTGTGTTGCAAAATTACTTTGATACCCACAACACAACTAATGAAATGTCCATAATATTTATGTAGTTACGGAATGTTTCAGCTTACAACTTTTTTTTTATTCCAGTAGGTCTTTCAGGAAGGCGTGCCATGTCATCCACAGCCAAGGATCCAGGCACGACCCGAGAAAACTTGCGAGAAAGAACCAGAGCCAGTGCTACCAAAAAGCTTACCGGACCAACTGATGCCATGCCTCAGAAGCGGTCACGATGCCATACTGTAGCTGAAACTGAGTCTCGCATGACCAAATCTCGCTCAGACAGTCAGGTAAGCCATAAAGCAGTGCTGGAGTGTCAAGTGAACGACCTGCTGGGCTTAGCCAAGAGCAAAGACCTGGAGATCCTCCATCTCCGATCTGAACTTAGAGGTATGAAGGCCCAGCTTGGTCTGGAAGAACTTGAAGCCCCTGATCCCGAACAAGGTTCTCAAGAAACCAAGCAGCCTCAAGAGAAAGAGGTTTCTCCTGTGATCAGTGCCACTGATGTGGAGTCCACTCTCCTCCTCCTTCAAGACCAGAACCAGGGCATCCTTGATGAGCTAAATATGCTGAAAAGTGAAAACCGAATGCTGAAGGATCGCCTCAATGCTCTTGGCTTCTCTCTGGAGAACCGTTTGGACAGCCCTAACAAAGGTCTGCGTTGCCCGTCCCTTAGTCCTGAGCCTGTAGCTTCCGGCAGCAGTGGAGGTCAGCGTGAAAGCAGAGGAGGTAGCTTGCGCACGTCTTCCGCAGAAGGCTCTGCCCAAGGCTCTACCGAGGACCTTCTTTCAGAACCGAGACGTGTAGGTTCTCCTGATGCAGTGGACAGTGAGTGCAGTGAGGCCTACCAGCCAATCACCTCTAGTGATGATGCTCTGGATGCGCCCTCAGGTTGTGGATCGTCTTCTGAATCAGAAGGAGGACCACCGAGCCGGGAAAATTCCCGCAGGGGCAGCAGCGGGAACACCGGCGAGGTTTCCGTGGCTTGCCTGACTGAGAGAATCCATCAAATGGAGGAGAACCAGCACAGCACATCAGAAGAACTCCAAGCCACCCTGCAGGAGCTTGCTGATCTGCAGCAGATCACACTAGAGCTGACCACGGAGAACGAACGCCTGGGCGAGGAGCGCGCCATTCTTGTCGACTCCCTCTGTCAACAAGGGGAGCGTCTGGAACTGTACGGAAGACAGCTGGACTACTTCCGGGGCCTTCTTGACGAGCACCGGGTGGCGTATCCCAAGGATGACGAAGATGCCAAAAGCGGGCGCTATGTGGAGCTGGAGAGGCGCTACGCCGAGCTGAACGAGGGCTCGCATTTTGAGCGGGAGCAACTGCTGGGTGTGCAGCAACAGCTAAGCAGTGCTCTCAAGATGGCGGAACAGGAGAATGCAGAAGCCCAAGGCCTGATGGCAGCATTGAAGGAGCGTGTCCATATGGCAGAGAGAGCTGTGGAAATGGAACGGAGGGAGCGGACCGTCGCCAAAGCCGAGTTGGAAGCGCTGAGGGTGGTGTCTGAAGGGGAGCAGGTGGAGCTGAACCGCTGCAGAATCCAACTTGAGCAAGAGAGGCAGAGAGTGGCCCAGCTCCTCTCCATCCACAATGCAGGGGATAAGACCGACATACGCCACCTTCTGGACAGCGAGAGATTAGACAAGGAGCGTGCGGAGGCCAAAGCAGCTCAGTTACAAGAGGAACTGGGGCACACGCGCAGTGAAGCTGCCCAGCTACAGGAGGCAATTAGTAAGGTAAAATTGACAAACACATATCTTTGATTATTTTAAGTTGTCTTAAACAGTGTCCGAGGTCTGAAAATGTGCTACATTTGATGAAGAACTTATTTCACAACACATTATGTTCTATGTAGTATGAATGAAATTCAGACGTACTACATCTGCCATTTTGACACTGTCATGTGACTTAAGCCGTCAGTTGCGTCGGTTCTCTGCCATTCACAAATCCTCTCCTGTGGCCTCATGAAATAGTATGACCATCATATGCACACTTTAGAATCTCGCCAGAAGTAGTAGGTCATCCTAGTACTATTTGCCTACTGTTATGAATACTATGAATTCTAACATACTCTTTTCACACACTGTTTTTTTTTTTTTGCCTACTATATAGTAGACATATTCGGACACAGGGGCTACATCCAAAATCGCATACCCTCTGAGTAGATAGTTATTTTGAAGAAGTAATTACTTCATGGTCACTAAAAAAAGTACGTTCTATATAGTATGAACTTAATCCGGACAAACTACGTTCGTCATGTTGTCATTATCATGTGACCTACCAGTGTCAGTTGCATCGCTTCACTGCCATTCATAAATCCTCTCCCTTGGCCTCATGGGATAGTAAAGTGTCCATCATATTATGCACACTTCAGAATCTCGTCGGAAGTAGTATGTCATCCAGGTACTTTTTTCGTACTCTTTTATGAGTACTGTGAATTTCGACATACTACTTTTGTCACATCCTGAATTCACATATTGAATCTCCAGGTTAACTAATACATTTTCCAACATGTTACATGCCTGATGTATCCCTGCTAACATGAATCCTTGTGTTCGCTATAGCTTGAGGGTGAGTTCCGAGCATTTCGTGTCGATATCCAGGCACAGTTAGCGGAGCAGAAGCGGCTCCTGGAGCAGCAGTGCTCTGAGCTAGAGGAGAAGGATACAGAGATCGCTGACATGAAGGAGACCATCTTTGAGCTGGAGGATGAAGTCGAGCAGCATCGGGCTGTCAAGCTTCATGACAACCTCATCATTTCCGACCTGGAGAGTAAGTCACAATCATAGAATGCTTTCCATGGCTACTGGAACACTTAACACTATTTATATGTCATTGACACATTTAATATAAGTATACAATTATATTGAATTGATGTATAAAAAAATATTATTTATATATTTATCAAAAAATATTGTGCCCAAAAATTCTGTAGAGCTAAGGTCCATTCACACCAAGGATTAACGATAACGATAAAGATATCATTCTAAAAATCGTTAAATAGAAAAGAATAGAAAAGTCCACACCACAACTAGGATGATAACGGCACAGAGAAAAAATATCATTGGAATCACTTTTTTTTTTTGCAGCTAATGAGCGATTAAAGCATTGACAGCCAATCAGAATTCAAGTGGCTGGCGACAAAACTGCAGCACGCGCTTACAATAAACAGAATGATATTGTACGTTGGTGTGAATGCTAATACAGTGCTGGTCAGATTTATTTCCCCCCTTGGTAAATATGATCAAAGATGGCTGTAAAAAATAAATCTGCATTGTTAATCTTTTTGATATTTTATTAAGAAAATGAGCAGAAATCTAACCTTTTATTGGTTATTGAGTCTTCTCCTATAATGCCTGATGATTTTGGAGAACACCTGACAAGAGATCAGAGACCATTCCTCAATACAGAAGAGAAGCTCTCCAGATCCTTCAGATTCCCAGATCCATGTTGGTGCTGCTTCTCTTCAGTTCAGCCCACTCATTTTCTATAGGGTTCAGGTCAAGGACTGGGCTGGCCATTGCAGATGCTTGGTTTTGTGCTGAGTGACCCATTTTTGTTTTGATTTTGATGTTTGTTTTTGGATCACTGTCCTGTTTGAAGATACAAACATGGCCCATTATAAGATTTCCAGCACAGGCTGTCAGGTTTAGATTTTTTATCTGTTGGTATTTGATCGAATCCATGATGCCATGTGTCTGAACAACATGTCCAGGACCTCTGGCAGAAAATTAGGCCCACAGCATTAAAGATACAGCAGAGTATTTCATTTTACACAAGGGGTGCTTTTTTATCCCTGTGTGGACCAAACCCATATTAAGTGTTTGCTGCCAAAAAGCTCTTTTTTTGTTTTGTTTAATCTGTTCATCTGAACTGAAGAGATGAAGCGCCAACATGGATCTGGGAATCTGAAGGATCTGGAGAGCTTCTGTATGGAGGAATGGTCTCTGATCTCTTGTCAGGTGTTCTCCAAACTCATCAGGCATTATAGGAGAGGACTCAAGAGCTGGTATCTTGGAAAAAGGAGGTTGCAAAAGGTATTTAATAAAAGGGGGCAAATAATTGGTCCCAACGTGTTTTGGAGAATAACATTTATTTCATAATTTGATTTCCCCTTAACTTCAATTCTTTTACTTCAATGAAGGTTAGATTTTTGCAAATTTTTTTAATAAAATATCAAAAAGATTAACAATGCAGATTTATTTTTTTACAGCCATCTTTGATCATATTTACCAAGGGGGCAAATAATTCTGACCAGCACTGTATATCGATATAGTTATTGTTCTTGATGTGAGTGGTCCAGACTGAAGAAAAAATCTAAGTGAGAATAGTTTATTGTATTGGTACCGGTATATACTTATCTATAAATATCTCAAATGTTCCTAATGTAAGAGAGATCTCAAGTAAAGAATTGTACAGAAAACGTTTCTCTATGTATGTAACACAAATTTGTCTGGTGTTGACCAGATGCCCACAGTTTTGTTTTCATTATTTTGTAGTTATGCAGGCTGTCCACATAGAGGCGGCATCGAGCTACCTGAGTATGAAATACAGACATTGTCCTGACTTAACATGTGTTTAGCTTTCAGTTTCATTTTATTGGAATGATAGTTTTATTGTATGTATTACCAAAAATCAATACTTAAAAACATATTTCAAAAGATAACATAATTGTATAAAATTTAAATTAGGCATTTGAATAAAATAAACTTTTAGCAACACATTAATGAGCATTTAACTTTACTTATAAATCTGTATTTATTTCTGCCATTCTTCCCCCACCCAGATTCCATCAAAAAGCTTCATGATCAGAAATATGATATGGAGAAGGAGATTAAGGTTCTTCACCGTAAATTGCGGGTAAATTTTCCCTTTTTATGTGCCGTGTTTGCACTGTGTATATCAGGGTTCTTATAGTAATTGTAATCTTAAAGATGGTTGGAAATTCCATCTTTGTGACTTTTCACCCAAGAAATTATCTTCATGATTCTCCAAATGAATTTAACTGACACCTGTCACTCACAGGAGGAATCAGCCGAGTGGCGTCAGTTCCAAGCTGATCTGCAAACGGCCGTTGTCATCGCCAACGACATCAAGTCAGAAGCTCAGGAGGAGATTGGAGACATGCGGCGCCGCCTACAGGATGCTCAGGAGAAAAATGAGAAGATGAACAAAGAGCTGGATGACCTAAAGAGCAAGAAGTAAGAGAAGATGTAGTGTAGATGTACAACCCAGAGTAAATGTGTTGTGACTACAGGGATATTGATACTCAGACACAGGTTGTGTGATTGTGTTTGTATGTGCAAATATTTGCATATGCAGGATCTTTGAGTGTCAGGGTGTGTCTTGTTTTACAGGCAGGAAGAGGAGCGTGGTCGTGTGTATAATTATATGAATGCCGTGGAGCGAGACCTGGCTGCCCTGAGACAAGGGATGGGCCTTAGTCGACGTTCCTCCACTTCCTCTGAACCATCGCCCACCGTCAAAACACTTATTAAGAGCTTCGACAGCGCCTCGCAAGGTTCACAAAACATGCAGATTTATGCAGATGCATTCTCATATTTGGAGTGGTGTGGCTTATTGTTTATAGATCTTTGCTGGTAAACAAAAGGTTTTTGGTTGTTCGAACCCTACAAGGGCGATTGTGCTTGCAAGTGTTCTGCAGGTCGCTTTTGATAAAGAAATGACAAATTAGTAATAAGATATACTAGCATGTAGGGCTGCACGATATATTGAAATAAAATCGATATTGCAAGATGGTTTAGTGTGATTGTCAAATTGCTCAGGCTGCGATAAAATGTAATAAATATATGAGCTGCAGGTTTCAGAGGGAAGCGCAGTGTTTACACACCTGATGTCATGAGCTAAATGAACACAGCGGTGCATTTCACTTCATTTTTATGTGCCGGCAACCCATCAAAATAAAAGCTTGATGGATTACTGTTTGAAAATGAAGAAATTAAAATGTAACCATCATTATTGTAATTTTACAGTAAAATATTTTTTTTATAGTGCAATAGTATTATTATTATTATTATTATTGCTACAATATATGTCTTATATTTTTTATTTAATAACTATCACAATTAAATCACAATAATAATTATTTTATAGTCATATTATAGTAATATTATTAATTCGTCAAAAACAGTGGGAATGGGGCTTATGAAAAAGTGGAGAGATTAAAAAAAATCAACTCTAGAAAAGATTTTGTGTACACTTTACTTAGATTAAGATACTTTCACTTAGAAATGTATAGCAGATTTCACAAATCATTACAAAGAACCAGCAATTAACACATTGAATGAAATTTTAAAGTAGAAATAGTACTGTACTATAGTAATAGTAAAATGTACTCCAGTTTTATCTACAACTTAAAAAAAAAATATATATATATATTATAGTGAAGATTTTCCAAAATCATTCAGCCGTAAAAGGATTTTGCCATTTAAAACTTTGCTGAAAAATTACTTTTTACTCTGAATTATACTTTAAAAAAAAAAAAATTACTTTAAAAATCACCCCACTCACTCTAGAATGATTCATTGTTTTCAAATTGTTAGTGTTATTCCAGTATCGTACAGCCCTTCTAGCCTGCAAATATATGAAGCCATATATATTTTCTTTTACAAGTCGCATGATCTGTGTGTCCGTTTGTCCATCCGTCTCTCTGTACAGGTCCTGTTCCAACCAGTCCGGTTGCTGCTGCTGTTGTTGCTGCCGCCGCTATTTCCAGAACCCCCCTCAGTCCCAGTCCAATCAAAACCCCTCCAGCCGCTGCTGTCTCTCCTATACAGGTACAAACAATCAGTATTAACTAATGTATGGATATAGTCCTATAACCAAACCCTTAAATGACATGGTATAGTTTATATCAGGTTATGAATATATTATAATAGTGTTATATGTATCACAATAAAGTTGCTTTTGCTGGCTATTCAATCCCTAAATTATTGATATATTACATAATTATGTAATAATGTCTCTTTTTTTTTTTTAGCTTTTATTTTATTTTAAACTTCAAACAAAAAGTAAGATTCTGCATAACAAATAATTTTAAAGTTTGACATCAAGCATTATTTAACCTTCACCTAAAAACAAATGAATCAAAACAGTTACACTACCGTTCAAACTTTTGGGTCAGTAAGATTTTATAATTTAGAAAGAAATCGTAATATTGTGAAATGTTCTGTTCTGTTATAATATTTTTTTTTAATGTAATTTATTTAATTATTTTCAGCAGCCATTACGTCAGTCTTCAGCTTCACATGATCCTTCAGAAATCATTATAATGCTGATTTGCTGCACAAATAACATTTCTTATTATTATCATGTTATTATTTCTTTTATTTTTATCAATTGAATGCATCTTTGCTGAACAAAAGTATTAATTTCTTTACTGGCCCCAAACCTTTAAACATTTGTATAATAGCCTCATGTTAATAGTAAACTGACTTTGCCGTGGGATAGATGCATTAGGACGGATCTCTGATCACTTTAGCAGATGTCTGGATTCTTCTCTATGGGGATTTTCTGACCTAACACCCCTGTCTGTCAGATGAGATCTCCAGACTGTGTGTGTGTGTGTGTGTGTGTGTGCGCGCGTGCGTGCGTGTAGCTGGAGTAGGGCTTTCCTTCTTTTTCTCTCCCTCCGTCCACGGATGTCCTTTGCAGTGTTTCTCTTTTTGAATAGGACATAGAAGTCTCCTCAAAATGTGCCAAAACAGGATGTTTTTGTAAGGACAGAAAAAAAATCAGGCAGTTTGACGTACTTTGAGTGCTAAAAGTTTGAGGCACAGAGATTTTGTTTGTTTTGGTGAATTTGAGTTTTAGAACATGATGTTCTATGGACATGAAATCACGCAACTTGAAGCGAAAGTTCACATTTGAACATCCAATTTGAGATAAAACAGCTAAAAAAAAAAAAAAATCCCTGAAGCAGGACCAGAAAATCACTTTCTTAGGCATGGGCCAATGAAAATTTGCCTTGCAATAGTCAGGGTAGCGCCATAGTTTACATGAATGAAAATGAGGTTGTTGTGAGAGATAGAATACAATGCAAAGAGATAGATTGTAACAATGGATTGTTTGCTCAGCTGACGAATCCTAACAACAACAAAAAAATTGCCATTATAATGACTGTACGCCTATCCCTCACAGCCTCTTTTTCATTTGTGTTAAATTCAATATGGCGTCTAACCTTACTATGGTCTATCACCCTCAGCGTCATGGCGGACGAGTTTTGTTCGGCAAGCTCGACTTGTAAAATATTAGAAAATCAAGTAAAATTTTGAGATCTATGATTGGTTATGTGGCTTTAGAATAAAATTGTAACGATGTTCAAGTTGAGGGAAGAAAGAGGCGGGGACTTTTAGGGTGTATTCACACCAGGAAAGTCCGATAGTTCACTTGCTTTGGTCCGGACCAAATAATATATATATATATATTTTTTTTGGTACGGTTCGCTTTCACACTGCTCTTTTTGCAAGTGAACCAAAATTTGTAAACAAAACCACACGTGTGCTAAGGTCGTCCATTCATTGGACAAGGATTCTCAAGTAGGGAAATCAGGAAGTGCAAAAAAGGCTTAATGTAAATTAACGCAGCATCATCCTTGTATTGTATTTGTAACTATCGTTACATTATATGAACTGCAAATGCTTTTTTTTGCATCTATGCGCGATTAGACTAAAGAGAACGCTCTGTATGTGAATGTCCTGATGCACACACTCATTCATTCATTCCATTCCAATGATGCACACACGACGTGCAGAAAGACGCGCAACAGATGTAATGTAGTAGGCTACAACAGATCACTTTCCCATAACGCAACTCAGGAAGCCTGTTAACTCAAAGGCACAGTGCTTTCTTGCAATTGGGTCGGTTCATGTTCACACCGTGAACGAACCGTACTAGAGTTCGTTTGGAACCGTACCGAGACCACCTCTTCAGCTGGGTCTCGGTTCGGTTCGGTTGTTTGGTCCGCACCCGAGTTCGATTGCTGTATTCACACCTGCCCAAAAGGTCCGCACCAAGGGGGGAAACGAACTAGAGTTCCATTCAATCGAACCAAACAAGGCAGGTGTGAATACACCCTTAATCACCAAAATAAACAAAACCAACCAAAACAAGCGTCAGCCCCTCATGGACGACTGCCGCATGTAAACATAATAAAATACAACATAACATCCCAGGCCCGGTCCTCTCTTGTCTTCCACTGTCGTCACTCCTAGTTTTTTCCTTCCGGAGCTCCTCCGTGGGACTCGAGACCGGTGTGTTGCGCAGGTGTCGCTCATTAACATTTGCTCAGCTGGCCTCGCTCCGCTCCCACAGTTCTCAGCCCCATCCTCATTCACGCCACAGAAAATATTTGTTTCACATTTTAAATTTAGATTTGCAGGTCGATGTCGAGTTGATTATAGATTATATTGTGTAGACAATATGAAATGAACTCCCATCATATGACCAAATAAGGAATTTAATATTTTCTTTGAACTTATTTACTTTTCTGAAAGTAAAATTATGTAGGCATTCGTTCTTTAGCATCCCTGTCCCAAAGGTTCACAGAGAAATGAGAACGAGATATGTAACTTGCATAAGGTTTTTGAAATTGTCAATTGTGTTACTGCTATAATGTTCTTTCTGCAGACAGCCAATATTTTCTTGCTTAAGCATGATTGTATTTGTGAAATTGGGTTATTGGGCACAAGAAACAGAATTTTTCTAGAAATGATATTTACCAACCATTTGCCTTTGCTAGGACTGGACTGTTTATCCAATTAGGCTGTGAAAAATAACAGTGCTTTAAAAGCGCCAATAATTCACAGCTAACTTTGTTGATGTGTTGACCACCTGAGCTCCATACTTCATTGAATTTATTAAAGTTGTGCTGTGAGCTAGGGCTGAGTAATATATATTGTATATTCATGATATATATATATGATTTTGCTTTTCTAAAACCGCAACATCATGAACATCACAGATATTCATGAGACTAGACTTGGAATCCTTGTCTCATGATTTGTATTTTCGTACTAATAATTTTCATTTTTTATTGGGGTACTATTTTACAGAGACACACCATGAGCTCAGCCAAACCTCTGTCATCAATGCTGGACAAGAGGTCGAGCTACACGGACCTGAGCATACCAGGTGAGCTGACGTTAGTCACACTGGAAATCTAACTCCTTGATCTTTCAGTCTTCCCTCACTCCGGTTTGATCTAGTTATTCAGAGGCCAACTCGGAGTTAAAGGTCATGTGTAATCGTGCTGTACCGTTTCCCTCAGGCTTAACATTTGCTGTTAATGACCAGAGATTGTGTGCCAGACCTTGAGGAGGAAGCAGGATATTTATTTTAGAAGAGCACAAGCTTAGTCATGCCGCATAAAGCCTGTTATTCTTTTTCATGATTGTATGTGTGATTTCATGTAATCCAATAGCAGACCACCTCCTCCGGACCTCACCTGTAACGCGCCCCGGCTGCGGCCTCCAGAGGATGACGAACATAGACTCGAATAAATCCATATCAGGTAAATTTGGACCTTGAGTACTCGTTCTGCAACATCTAGTCAAGTACTCGACTATACAGTTTCTCACCTAAAAATTATTTACTCCCCCTAACGTCGTTTCAAATCCATAAGACTTTTGTTCACTTTTGGAACACAAATTAAGATATTTTTAATAAAATCTGAGAGATTTCTGTCTCTCCATTGAATGTCTTTTCACCCAAATTCAAAAACGTTCATAAAGAGATCATAAAATAAGCTTAATCCAAGTCTTCTGAAGAGACACGATCGTTTTGTATGATGTACAGATTTAATTTTCACATAAAATCAGATACAAAGCACGCACATCTACAGCAAAGCAATATGTTGCTCAAACTGGGTGCTTAACAAGGAAATTGCTAAAAAAGGGAAAAAAAAGTCGGCACACCAAAGTCGGCTTTTTTCACGTTTAAACGTTGATCAGCGAACATAAACTGAAGCTCAACCGCACTTGCTTGACGCGTGAGAACAAACCTCATTGGTTCTTGAGGAACCTCAAAGTTGCTGCATAATGTGAGAATGAGCCTCATTGGTTCTTTTGCTTTTGCTTCCATGACCAAATTTGAATGCTGTAAACATTGTTCGCTGATCAATGTTTATATGTGAATAAAAACCAATGTAAATAAATCTGTTCATCGTGTAAAGCAATCGTGACTCTTTAGGAGACTTGGATTAAACTGCTCCATTCATATGGGTTTGTTTTATGATCTTTTTATGAAGGTTTTGAAGCGTCAGAGTTTAGGCTGAATAGACTTTAAGTTGAGGGACAGAAATCTCATTAAGAAAAACTTCATTCGTGGTTTGAAGATGAACAAAAATCTTATGGATTTGGAATGACATGAAGGTGACCAATTAATGCCAGGGTTTTCATTTCCTATTAACATCACACAGAAGGCGTAATACTTTTCATAACGTCCTTGTCAGTTTCTGGCAGAAGCAGCGAAGAGTTAAAGAGAGATTTGTCGGTGACGGACACATCAACGCCATCGTCAATCATCGCTTTGGGCTCGTCTTCTCCCCAGCTTTCTTTGTCTTCAAACTCCTCCTCCCCGACCGCCTCCATGACGCCCACCACGCGAGGACGTTTACGGTAAGCGGCAGCGGACCTTCCTTGTTTGTCTGTATGCCTCCATCTCTTTTATGTTCATCTCTGCTCTGGCTCTTCTTTTGTTGACTTTCTAGAAGACTCTTACTCGCTGTCAGGTTTGCCAGATGTCTCTCTGTTTCACACTCTATCTCGGTCTCTGTCTGATCACTGCGGTGTTGACAGGCCAGTGTTTCGATAATGGATGTCACTCGTTTACCTGTCCTGAAACCTGACCGTGGGTCCACCGTGGCTTTTGAATAGGCCATTGGAGGAAGACGAATCATTCTGCACTTTCCTTTATTGTCAGAGCATTTCCTTCTGGTCGTAGCATTAACTTCCTTGCTGGAAAAATCCAGCTAGAACCAACTTCTGATGGTAGCTGGTTTTGCTCAAGTGCTGGTTGGTTGAAACTGGACATTTATGCATGAAGGAAAAATACTGTATATAATATTTATTTATTTATTTTGTTCCTAATTTATTTTTTATTATGATGTATATATTATAATTAATTTTATTGTTATTTTTATATAGTGTCAAATCCAAATCAAGTGCTGGCTGGTTGAAACTGGACATTTATGCACTTGGGAAAAAATATGTATAAATAAATATAAACATTTAATTAATAATATAATATGTATTTATTTATTTTGATTTTAGTTTTTAATTCAATTTTAATTTTTACTATATAAAGTGTCAAATCCAAATCAAGTGCTGGCTGGTTAAAACTGGACATTTATGCTTGAGGAACAACAACAACAACAACAAAAAATATATATATATACTTTTATTTTATATATTATTATTATTATTATTATTATTATTAGTGTCAAATCTGACCTAAGATCGAGTCATTAAAGGTTTTAAAATTTTATAATTATTATACAGTTCAGTGAGTTGACATTTCTGTGTGCCTTTCTTTCATATTAATAAACCATATAATTGCTTCCTTCTCTGTAAAAACAGAGTCAGATTATCTGTTTTTACAATACAGAATCATTGATCAATTTATTAAGTTACAGTGTCAGAAACATCTTAAGAAAGTTGGTGCATCTATCAGGTTAATGCAGCTTGGTAGAATTTCCACAAAAAAAATGAATGATCGTTTTTGCTATTAAAGTTGAGTCCAATACAAAGGAACTGTGCTGTTAAAGTGATTGATGTCTCTCCAGAGAGGAAAGGAAGGACCCTCTGTCTGCGTTAGCCAGGGAATATGGAGGATCCAAGAGGAATGCTCTGCTCAGGTGGTGCCAAAAGAAGACTGAGGGTTATCAGGTACATGTTGTTTTTGTATCTACATTTATTTGAGTCACTTGTGATATTAATATAGTCATCCACATCCACAATATATATTGAGACCATATCGGTATGAGCTAATTTTAGCTGCTTTTTTATTATCGGTCTGATTAGGCAAATATTAGACCCATTATTATAAAATAAATATCTGCATTTATAAGATTGACCATCATATTGGTTATCGGTCATACCATTTATCAAATTATATATTTACCCCTATTAATAATATATATTGGCCTGAGGTGAAAAAACAAAACTCACACACACACAAGTTGCGACCACAAATTAAAGACCAGTGTATAAACACTACAACCAAAATGTTTGGGGTCAGTACGATTAAAAAAAAAAGAAAAGAAATTAAATTAATACTTTTATTCAGCAAGGATGCAGTAATTTGCTGAAATGTAACAGTAAAGACTTACATTGTGACAAAAATAAATGTTTCAAATGCTATTCTTTCTTTATGAACTTTCTATTCATAAAAGAATTCTGGGGGAAAAAGTATCAGTTTCAACAAAAAACTTGAAAAATGTTTCTTGAGCAGCAAATCAGCATATTAGTATGATTTCTAAAGGATCATGTGACACTGAAGACTGGAGTAATGGGTACATAGGAATACATTACATTTTATAATGTATTAAAATAGAACACTTTTAAAAGTTAAAATAATATTACACAATATTACTGTTTTACTGTATTTTTGATCAAATAAGTACAACATTAGTGAGCATAAGAGACTTCTTTCAAAAACACAATATGTATACAATATGTAATGTATACACATACAGTGGCGTCCAAAGATTTTCACTAGTGAAATAGTGAAAATGCTTCATAATGCAGTTTAATATATCATTTTTTTGTTCTTTTTTTGTTCTTTGTTCAGTGTAGCTTAAAATTCTTAAATTCACTTGCCAATTTCACAGTTGTCAGCATTCAGGTATTCATGTTTGAGTGTGTTTGATTTTTAAACAGAACGTGACCATGCATAATTCACAAATTCATTTTCTATCGCAATGACTCCTCTGCCTTCAAGCATAAAAATGTTTACCATTCAGAGAGGGTTTTGGACCATGATGTTGCCATGGTTTCCCTCAAGCCAGGAAGTGTGCTACATTTCTCCTGATTCATGTCACAAACAGAGAACCTCTCAGCCAATCAGAGCACAGAACCCTTGTGGGCACAGATTTATGATTTTGATGACCTTGTGATTTAAAGTGTTTTTTTTTTTCTTTTGATTTTATAAATTCTGAAATTAGCAGTTTAGATGTTTGTCTTTTATCGCCTCAGTAAAAAAAAGTACAACTTTCCCCCTTTCAGTTTTGGTAGTTTCTTTTGTCTTTTTGACACCACACTCCCAAAACCCCACAGTCTCTGTCTCTTCCTTTCCCTGTACATCTTTGTCTGTCTCTCTGTAAGTGTGCGTGTGATTGATGGTAATGTCCAGTAGTGGATAAAAGCCATTTTTCACTGCAACTCTAATGTGTTCATTACAAGCGGCCTGGCTTTACTTGGGAGTGCACTTTTCGCAGAGAGCGCAGCGAACAGGCCTCTGTTTCTCTGTTTTCAATGTGATTAGCCTAATGCTCTCTCCCCTGGGCCTTTCTGCTTTTGCACACAAGACCTCTTTTCATTAGCTCCTCACTTTGAACACTGGCACACAAACGAGAGAGGACACGGGGAGGATGTCTCGATGTCTTCGTAACCCTGTCTCTTCACACGGTTCTGTTGTGCTGACGTTCATTTGGCTGCAAACAACATGGCTGGAGTTTGTACACTGAATTGTAAGCGAGGGTCGTGGACATAACTGGCTACAATGGTATTTAAAGGGATAGTTCACCCAAAAAAGAAAATTCTGTCATCATTTACTCACCCTCAAGTTGTTCCATATCTATATGAAGTTCTTTCTTCTGGTGAATACAAAAGAAGATATTTTGAATAATGTTGGTAACCAAACAGTTTCTGGTCCCCATTGACTTCCATAATATATTTTTTTCTATACTATTGAAGTCAGCGGGAACCAGCAACTGTTTGATCACCAACATTCTTCAAAATGTCTTCCTTTATGTTCTTCCTTCCTTCCTGTACTTCATACAAGTTTAGAACAACTTGGGGTTGAGTAAATAATGACAGAATTTTCTTTTTTGGGTGAACGGTCCCTTTAAGAAATTTATAGTAAAAGTGAAAACAAAATTGACCTTTTTTACTTCAAGTCAGTTCCCCAAGTTCTAAAGGGGTTTTAGGACAGTAACCAGAGGTATAGTTCATCGCTTATATTTGACAACCATTAAGTGTCTGTACAGTATATTGGATGGCCACTTTGACTTATAATATATAGTTGTATAATGTAACACCTAACAAACATCTTTAGTAACACTTTTCAAATGAGGTTCAATTTGATAACATTGTTAAATGCAGTAGGTATCAATGAACAAAGATTTAAGAAATCTCTCATGCTAACCAAAGCTGCATTTCATTTGATAGAAATACTGTAAAATAATAATATTGTAAAACATTATTAACTTTATTATAATATTTTAAAAAGTAATTTATTCCTGTGATGTTAAAGCATCATTACTCCAGTCTTCAGTGTCACATGATCTTTCAGAAATCATTCTAATATTCTGATTTGCTGCTCAATACATATTTCTTGTTATTATCAGTGTTGAAAACAGTTGTGCTGCTTAATATTTTTGTATGACCCATGATAGGTTTTTTTTTCCAGGATTCTTTAAAGAATAGAAATTTCAAAAGAACAGAATTTATTTGAAAAAGAAACATTTTGTAACATTATAAATATCTTGACTGTCACTTTTGATTAATTTAATGCATCCTTGCTGAATAAATGTTTTGAATTGTAGTGTTCAATTTTAACATTTAACAAATGTAATGAATTAACCTTCATTTAACATGAAATAACCATAAAAAACAGTTTATCCGTTGTTCATTGTTATCATTGTCATGATGCAACCAGCTTTAACAAATTTACCCTTATGGTAAAGTGTTACTATTTCTTCTTCTTTTTTTCTTTTTTTTTTGCTATGTTTTATATTGATATTTTGTTATTTAAATACAATGACATTCACACATCTTTAAGTGTGGTGAATCTTTAAGTGTTAAGTTTCCAAATCCTTTTTGGGGTCACTGTATAATAACTAAAGCCAGTGTCTTTAAGTGGTACGTGTGCTAGCACAGATCTCTGGATAAAAAGCAGAGCTTCATTATCAGTGTGAGACCACTTTGGTGCTCCACAGACCCTGGTCTACTTCCTGCCTGTCGATCCCCTGCTGCTGTGACCCACTCTGATGAGCTCATCACTTCCTTCCACTCCACTTGCTATGTTTCCAGAAAGTGGAGCGAGCGCTCTGCCAATTTACGCCATCCCTTAGCACGTTTACACTGGCCTGCCACATCTGATAAAGGCTGTTACTCTTTCTTTAAAAATCTTTTTGCTAGAGGACGTGGGTGATAGTGAAATCTGAAAGGGTGCTTTTGTTTCTTTTGGAAACTCTTGAATACACATCAGAAGAACTGCAACTGGTGAACAAATATCAGTTCCAGTAAATTGCCACCATACAGCCTACGTACGTATTTCATTCTGGATTCCAGATACAACAAACAAGACAATGGATTAAAAAAACAGAAAACATACAAAAAAGCAGTTGTTAGTCTTATTTTATTGTACCTCTTTACCTTATTATTGCACCTGCATTACCATTCAAATATTTGGGCTTGATTTTTTTTTATTAAGAAGTCTCTTATGCTCACCAAGGATGCATTTATTTGATCCTAAATGCAGTAAAATAGCAATATTGAGGTTATAAATATTACAATTTAAAATAACACTTTTCTATTGGATTATTTTGAAATGTAATTTATTCATGTGATGCAAAGCTGAATTTTCAGCATCATTACTCCAGTCTTCAGTGTCACATGATCCTTCAGAAATCATTCTGATATCCTGATTTGCTGCTCAAGAAACATTTCATATTATTACCCATTTTGAAAATAGATGTGCTGCTTAATATTTTTGTTGACACCGTGATTCACTTTTTTCAGGATTCTTGGATGAATATGAAACATTCAAAAGAACAGCGTTATAGAAAAAATACATAATTTTTGTATAAATTTAAGTCTTT